CCCATTGAAATGAACATTGCAATTGGCTCTATGAAGATTTGTACTGACCTCATTGTGTCATCAGCTTGACATTATAATTTCATCTCCAGAGAAACATTGAAACACTTTTCATCATGATTTGATATTGTAAATGTGGTGACCATAGATAGTAATAAAAATTCCTTGCAATTGCCTTTTGACATCATAATGTAATCTCCATAGTCTTCACTTGACATTGTGATGAGATTGCGGCAATGCTAACTTTGTATGAATGAAGCTGGGCCCATGGAATGAAAAATTTAAAGTACAGTTTTGTGCATAGAGAGCAAATGGTTATTAATGCATATACATTTCATCATAATTAAATTTTTGTTAAAAATTAGAACACATTCTCTATTTATATGAGGAATGGAGATCTGGAACATTCTGTTAAGTGAAGAGATCAGAAAACGAATCAGTTTTCATATAAAACTTTTTGAATTCATGCAAATAAAAACATAGCATATTTAGTGCCAGAGCAGAGACTTGGAATCTGTGATAAGAAAGTTCTTCACACTTCCATTGTCTTCTGGGGCATGTACTTCTGCCTTAGTTCTTGAGTAGTGTAGGAATATAAACAAATGTAATATGTTTATAAAATATTTTTTCTATTTAGAAGTCAATTAATTTTTAGTTTTAAATACATGCATATGTCTTACAACATGTATCTTGTTTATCTGCTTTGGTGTAAAAAAAAAAATGGCATCCCTTGGAGTAAAAAGTTTGGTGTGGGCTTGTTTGATTCTCTAAAACTTTAGGTTCAGAGTTGTTAAGTATAGTGACAGACTGATTTAAGCAGTGACTTTCATCCCCCTAAATTAGTCATTACTCTAATACGAACTGGAATGACATTTTTTAAAAGTCAAAGCATTGCTGATTTTTTGTGGAATCTGAATTGATGACCTCCTGGTAAAATACATTTATCTTATTATTAGATCTTTGAGACACTATATCACTTGTAACCTTTACTTTAAGCACTTTCTTGCAGATATCCTTCTGATTTTTGCAATGCAGGCTACAACAAATATTTAAAAATAAGTAAAAGGCACTATCCCTGGATTATAACTATAGTACTAGACAGACTGACACCTTGCAATTTGGAGTTTTTCTTTTTTATTGTCGAAACTGAATGTCTTCACTAGAGTTTAGCGTATGGAACTTGAATAAGGCATAGATAAAACTCCGTGTCTTTCACAACCTGCATTTTTTAATGTTTATTTCTCTTGTCTATCTTTCTTTTCTCTTGCTAGTGACTAGAAAATATGAGTGTAAAAGTATTTAAAGTGTGGTCAGATGCATAAACCATATGCTCGGAACCGTGCAGGTTGAAAGTTTACTCTTGGCTCCATTCCTAACCTGCCTGCTCACTTTACCTCTCTAAGGCACTTAAAAGATAAAAGTGTACATAATAGGCTTAGAACCTTTCAAAGATGAGCTAAAATAGAATAATCTTATCATAGAATGATGGAATCATAAAATGTTAAAAGGTGGAAGGGACCTTAAAGACTGTCCAGTCCCAACCTCCTGCCATGGACAAGAATACCTTCCACTGGGCCAGGTTGCTCAAGGCCTTTTCCAACCTTTCCTTGAACACTGAGGCATTCACAGCCTCCCTAAAAACCTGTTCCTGCACCTCACCACCTGCAGACTGGAGAGTTTCTGTCTGATATCTAACCCGAATTTTCCCTCTTTCAGTTTGTACCCTTAAATCCTTGTCCTGTCATGATTTCCCTTGTCTTTGAAAAGAAATATATTTAAATAGTAAATAAATAATATTACAAATTTGACATGAAAAGTTGTTATATGAAGCAAAAAACAAACAGCTGAACTATTGTAATAAACTTTTGCTTTCACTTTGAAAGCATCTTCAGTCTTTTTTGGTTTTTTTACTGTTGAAATACACAATGACAATACCATTTTTTGTTATTATTTTGAGCTACTTTTTAATAATTTTGAAGGCATGCAAATGTGAACTGATTACCAAAATGAAGTTTCTAGCATTGACTTGAATGCTTAAAATAAATTCTGTTTAATAGTAGTACAATTGCATACACTATTCACAGCATGTTTTGAAAGTGCATTAAAGAATTTCAGTTTTCAATGTGGAGAGAGAACTCGTCTTCTGAAGAAGAAATAAATCCTTCAGAAGAACAGTTGTAGGCCTTCAGATACTACCTGAATATGCCTCATTTCTTGAGGTAGAATGTACAGTCTATCCAGACCACTTATAGCAACTAGGCTGATCAGTTCCCTCAAAAGTAATCTGTGCTTTTCCCTAATCCATTTACTGGGGCACAGCTTCTTCACTAGTGGCCTGAGAGGTTGTCTGCCAAAAGGAAAGCATTTGTAAATGGCCATTAATTCCAAAATGCTTATCTCCAGTGGACAGAGATTCTTTTTGCAGTCATTTGGGAAAAGGGATTGAAATCTGCTGGACTGAACACGTCTGCGTCAGGAATCCCCATTGCACTGATATTGGGTTGAATTCTTCTCATTATTACTTCACAATTGAGATGTGAGCCCAGAAGAGTCCTTTCCAAGATAAATATTTACTTTTAACAAAAGTACTAGTGGCTAGAAATTCTATCTGCAACTTCCATCTAGACCATAGACCTCACAGATAATGGGGGATGTGGTTAGACACTTGAACCCGGTAGAAGAGGGAAATTTTATAGGCAAGTAGTATATCAGCTCTGGAGTAGTATTTCTTCTCATGTTATGCAGTGTGCTGACCTGGCTTCAAGAGACCACAGACATTTCCACCAAGAGAAACTAAAATTGTCACCTTTTTAGTTTGGAATGTCCTGTAGTATATCTACTACAATGACCTATGAAGTTTCTTTTATGTGATTTCCACATAAAGTGATGATAGTTGATAAGGTAGACCATGATCACACAGTCCAGCCAATAATACAAATGTTTTGTAAGTATTTAACACTGGTATTCTGGGGGAAATTAATTTTTTAAATAGCATTCCATTTTCTGTTTGTTATTTTAAATTCTAAAAATCTCTTAATAGACATAGAGAATCAGTTTACAAGTGTGATGATGAAAATATTTTGCCTGTAAACATTCACATACAATAAATGTAGTCAGATCTCAATTTTCTGAATTTTAGAGTAATACTTTAATTACTAAAATAGGTTTTTTTTTTTTTATTTCAGTGCTTAGACTGCCTTAATTCAGTACATAAGTAGGGCAATTGATGTGAATCCCAACATCTGGCAATCAGTGATTTAATGAGTTACTTTTTAAAGAAATGTCTGTCTGCCGGAGGGGTCTATAATGCAATTAGACACATTAGCACTTTCTCAGTAATTTTTCATGAGAAAATGAAAGTGATTGGTGCAAGCTGCAAGTTGTTTGCACTCTTGGAAGGCAAAAAATTCATAGTAGATTAATATTTCTGTTTTATAATAGGAGCATTTTGTTAGAATGATGTAATGTAATATGTTTGTTGCAATTTCTGAGTATTTGTTTGCAAAATGTAAGGATTTGGTCATAACTGATAGTGTGCAGTTAAAGGCTTTGGCCAAATTTTGTTTTATGCTAACAATGCATGAAAAAGGATGCTGATGAAATATTTAAATTAGAAGTCAACAATCCAAATTCAAAAAAACCCAGAGAAACCTTTGTAACCAGTAATACAATTTGGAAAGGCTTCAAGATTTTTTACTTTTTGAGTTCTCTACTTAATTAATAGTGTTCTCTTAAACATATTTTATTGGATTTGTTAAATTACTTATTAATTTCAATCTCAAAGTACAAAAGTAAAACTTCAGGAATTAAAGTTTAATACAATATTACACAGAAAAAAATTTAACACTTTAATACTTGTATGCACATTCTAAATCTCCTGAAGATTTTGTAGTAGGAGTAAAAAGTAATTTCTTGTTTTACTGGAGATTTTTCTGATACAAATGTCAAAATTTTTGTACTCATCCTGTCATTTTAAGAACACCTCACTTCTTAGAAAATTAACTTTAGTGATTAGGAACAAAATTATTATGAAAGTAAGTTTAAAGATGTACATTTATACACTGCTATATGCATTTTGTGCATAACGTAATAATATATATATATATATATATATGTGCGCAAGACAAATATGGTCAAGGCTATCATTTTTAAAATAAAGTAAGACAGAAAAAGAAATAAAATTAATCTTGAAAACTATTATAAAATTAATCTTGAAAACTATTTTGAATATTTGCATAATATTACAATAGAAATAATCTACTTGCAATTATTCAATTAAGAGGTAAAACTATTGTCCTTAGTAATTAAGTAACCTGTGCTACAGAGGAGTTTATCAGAGCATTTAAAATAAACTCAGCTGTGTGAATAAAGTGGAAACTTAAGTGGAATCTAAGTAATTTTTTTGCAGTTGGGTTTTTGAAGTGTTAGGACAGGTTCTAATTGAAACACTGAACTTCATGTGCTTTATGCCAACAGCCTATGAATATAATTTCTGCTGATTTAAGGATCTGATGTCAGGGCAGTAAGTATGCAATTAGCTTTAGTTTAAGTGATAGCAACATGCTGTAAATAAGAATCTTAATTGTGTTTGCAAGATTAAAATTCAGTTTCATTGTTTTTTTTCCCCTTGCTTCTTTGGTGGCTTTGTGGTATATTCGCATTGCTACCTCTAAATGAATGTCAACTTGTTTTACCTCGACTGCAGCCAATCGATACTTCATTAGGCTGAATTGTCTTGTGCCCATGCAACCTTGAAGCTGTGGCTTAATTACCACCCGTATTATGCAGTGGCTCAGAGTGCTGTGCTCAGCTGTGTCAGTTTCAAACAAAAGCCATGCTGTTGCCTGTATTTAGGAAAAATGGACTTTTGAACTACAGAACTATAATATTTTCTAAGTTAACAATTCATGATGATAACCTTTTTTAAAACGTATATGTCAGTTTTCAGTAAGTTTACATTTGAATAGGTTTCTGCATATTGCAAAACTTCAAAAGACGAGTACCTTTGCTTTTCATGTTCAACCCATCTTGATTTAAGATAATTTTAAATTAATGGCAAAGTAGCATTCATCTGAAAGAGAAGACAGGAGAAAGTGCAGTCAAATGGCAATCATGACAAATGACATCTCTTGTCTGAGAGTCATTTTTCCTCACTAGACTGATTTGTCATCCCCACTTTTGACATTTTTCATCCTGCTATGAAATCACATTGACAGAATAAGATATTTCTACACTTAACAGTGGAACGTAGAAGATGGTTCTCTGCCTTCATTTATTTTTTGTATTACATTTAAGGGTTTGTAAAATTTGTAAGCAACTAAAGTCCGATGACAAATTTCATTTGCTTTATAAAATATAAAGTTCACACCGCCCTATAATCCTAAAGTAAATGTTGCTGTTTCATTTGTGTCAGGTCATTATATAACATAAAGGGAAACAAATCTCTATGAAGATTTTCCACTTGGGAGTATTGCCTTGTTATAACCAAGGATTCTCAAATCCAGTAACAATGAGGACAAACTACCTAATTTTAATGTATTTTGCCATTGCCTTGGACATGTCAAAGACCTGTGGCTAGCCTTTGCAATTTCTTACTTCAGCACTAAAAACATAAGACTTGTCCATTGCTGAACACCTTATGCTCATGCAAATAGGTATAATTAGCTTAGCTTTTTCCTCCAGATCATACAAACTATACAGAGACATTGGCATTTTCTCTTGAGTTACAACAAAGGATAGACTAGAGTACAGTCCTAAAAGGCAAACCTCAGAGATCACATACATGCAGCTGAGTATGTACTGACTTGTACACATGGCACAGAGAACAATTCTTCTTTTTGTTGTTTGTATTTTCTTTTTGGCTGTTTTTTTTGTTTGTTTTTATCAAATGCCTCATGATTACTCCTGTGTACACCAAAACCTTGATATCTGTTTACATATCTGTGCCTAGTACCTTACTGAGGCATGCTGACCACAAAATGGGAGGATTGTTGCCTTACATAAGCAATGTTTGAGTGCTCAGAGGATGATAGTCCTCTTTAAAGCTCTTTTTCAAAATCCAATGAAGGAAATTAAAAAAAACTTTCTGAGAAAATATTTCTTTTATTTGTCTGATTTTGTGTTCAGTGAACTCGATCTGTGGCTAGATATCATTGTGTCTTTCAGTGCTCACATCAGACAATCAACTACTAGAAACCTCAAACACTGTTTCTAATTATCAGCATGTTCAGAATTTTCACACCCTTTATATCATGTAAATGTTACTTGTTATACATGCCTTTTGTGTACAGATCAGGCCTATAAAACATGCCAGAATTTGTACCAACAGTGTGTACCTGCAACTTCATGCCAGTATTAGTGTACATTCTGTTGTATATTGCCATGTACTGTGTTTTCTAGTATAGCGAAGTGCAAAAAACCAACTTTCACTTAATTAATTAACAAATCTTGTGTTATGCATCAGATGCTTTTAATTATTATTGTCCTGCTTGAATGAAAAGAGGTGGCCACCCTTGGGATTCAAATTTCATAGACTACATGTGGCTCTGTTCTTACTCTTTACCCACATTAATCCTAATAGATTTTAGGCAAGGTTTGAATCACCATTTTGTGAGAATGAAGATTCTCACAAAGAATCTTCATTCTTTGTGAATGAAGAATGAAAAGTCAGCAGAATCAGTGCCTTTCTACCTATTATGTATAAAAACCAAAATAACATAGCCCTGTGTATTAAGTGCCTATCTGTGAAAGTTTTCATTTCATCAGAGAAAAAATTTTAACTGTTTGCATATAAAGGGAGTTTTGACTAATCAAAAGGGGGCACTGTTCATTTCTGCCACTAGACCCTTCTTAAAGTTGCAAAGTGTTTATCTGCCCTCTGTTGAAAAAAGTTCTTATTCAAGTTCACAGTTCTACTTGAGAATGTGAGCATAATCAACAAGCAGGACCATAATGGCTTAACTCCAGCCAGCAACTATGCACAACATAGCCACTCCCTCACTCAGAGGATCAGGGACAAAATCAGAAGAGTAAGGGATATAACACGTGGGTTGACATAAAGACACTTTAATAGGTAAAGCAAAAGTCCCCAACACAAGCAAAAAACCCTGAGGAATTCATTCACTGCTTCCCATGGGGAGGTAGGTGTATAACCATCTCTAGGAAGACAGGGCTCCAACATGCCCAGCAGTAACTTGGTAAGTCACACACCATCACTCTCAATGTCCTTTCTTTACTCCTCCTTCCCTCAGCTTTCTATGCTGAGCATGGCACCATAGGGTGTGGGATATCCCTCACTGTGTCCTCTCCCAACTCCTTGTGTACCTGTGTGCTGGTGGGGTGGGCTGAGAAGCACAAAAGGCTTTGATGCTGTGTAAGCGCTGCTCAGCTGTAGTGAAACCGTCCCTGAATTACCAACGCTGTGGATGCACGGTCCAAAATAAAGCCCCATACTAGCTGCCATGACTATTATGAATTCTATCCCAGCCAAAACCAGCTAGAAGAAAGATGCCATTCACTGTTCTAGTCCAAATAAAAAGTACATTTGAGAAATTTTGCTTTGTGATCAGTACTTCATAGCGTTGTCCCTCCTTTAAATTCTTCTGCCACTTCTTGTGTTCTAATGAATGTATGTGGGATAGAAAGACATTGTAATGAGCATGGTTTATTCCATCAAATCTAAAGCAGGTGTATTTGTATTTCTGTAATGAATTACATCTGTTCATAGGAATCTTTCAAGCAACTTTCTAATACCAAAATGTTTATTATTTACTCACAAGATTTCAGGAAATGAATGTTCAACATAACCACACTCCTGTATAACATTACACAGCCACAAGCAATCAGGAACACAACATGAAGTTCACTCTTCAGTCCTGTGTTGTGATGATCTCTTTACTCTTACACAGTTTCCTCTGGTGACAGAATAACTTAACTTGGTAAAACTTTTCCCCAATATACCCTTGCTATATTAATAGCAACTGTCATTCATTATTATACTAAAAGGGAAGAAAACTTATACTGAAATATGAAAAAATGTCCTTCAGTGAAATTATATGTACAACTCAGCCTTAATTCAAGTTCAGTCTAGTAGGAGCTATGAACTATTTTCTTTATTTAATGGCTCAGTAATTGCAGACATCAAAGTACCTGCTACTGTTCACTAGAAAATTAAAGCACATGGAGACAATATAACATTGAAGAAAAAAAATGAGGGTTTAGGGACATATTTTACCAATATTGTAAAAGTAGATTTTTTTTTTCAAATTGAGTTGCATTATATCTTCATAATCCATTTCTGAAAAGGTAATGTTATAGTGAACCATGTTTACCTGGAAAAAACCCCAACATTTTGCAAGGATAAAATAATGAAAAGCTCTGAATTTATCCATTCTCCTTTTACAGATGACAGAGATTAGTATTGGACTTTGATTACTAAAGCATGGGCAATAATTGTTGTCTCTGTTGATTTTATGTTATTCATATGTGTATATGGGCTGCAACAGATAATTAGAGCAGAAGAGGAGAAACTAAACTGGAGACTATTGATCATTAAGATTGAATGATATGGGGCAAAATTCAGTCACTGCCCATTTACTCAATGGGTAAAACAAGAGAGGAAAAATCTTATAAAAAATCTAGAAACTTACCAGTAATTTCCATTGTTTTCCCCCATTTCTTTCCTTGCCAGCAGAAGAGTTATGACCCATTTTGCTTTTACTGATCATCTTCATCATCACGGAGAGTGAATTCCATGAACTACAGTTCAACAGGAATGTGCATCACTCTCATGAACATCAGACATGGCCTCATGTGATCCCTGGAATGTAAAAGTAGGGCAGCAGGGAGTAGGCAAGATATTTCCTTATGTATACAATCATGATAAGAGAGATATAAAATACATTATCTCAGGGAAATGTCTGCAATTTAAAATTATTAGGGTAGAGGAAATAATCTTAATATGTTGTTCGAGTAGGAGAAAATGTTTTGAAGGAATAAATAAAGCATTAAATTTACTTTATTTCTGAAAAAAAAAGAACGGGGATAGGATGTCATAATGCTATAAAAAGACTTGAAAGTGTGTTTATACTCTATAATCTGGAGTAAATGCATAAGAAGGAGCAAATATCTGTATACTGAAGTAAAACAACCAAGAATTAAAACATGTGAAGTTTATTTGAAAATATTACTGTAGCAAAACTGAGGTTGTAATTTAACCTTGGTTGTTGATCACAAATATAGTTTGGGCAAAAACAGAAAGATCAGCATGTATCTCATATCAGACTAGATAATTTTAATGGTTCTTTCTGAGGTTAAGCTATATGAATATACCAGTACAACTCTCCAAATTATTTTCTTTAAAAAGACATGCAAGTCATCATTGACAATGATAAACTGAATTCACACCCAAGTACATTGAAATGTGTTCCTGAAGGTCTCCCTTTAAATTCCTCCCACTAAAAAGCCAGAGCAAAATAAAAATACAGTTATCTACTCTCAAACTGATTTCCAGATATAAATCTAGACATATAAATTTTCAGTATAAATTATTTTTACTGTGTAACTGGCTGTATACCATTGAAATAGACAGTAGTCAGGAGTAATCAGGTGAAGCAATCTTATAGGCTTATTTCATCACTCCTGTTGGGATGTTTTTTTGTTATTGCAAAAGAAGAATGTTCAAAAAGTTGTTAAAATATTATAATTATTTAGTGCATTTAAGAAACCTTGGTAAACAGAAAAGCTTAATTCAGAATGTAGGCTGGCTATAGTACATCTTCAGTTAAAATATTGACTAGATATTAACAAAATGTCAACATGTAATTTTTGAGTGAATAAATGTAAATTTTTACCTTTGAAAGCAAAAGTCAGTTTAAGTCATATAAAACTAATTTTAAAACATTTAAATAAAATCTTTTTCAACCATACTTGAAATTACAACAATTTTGATCAATTCTTTCTACACTAATTTTAACTTAAAGAGGCAGTTTATTCGATAATATTAGAACAGAGTTTATTTGTTTTCTTTTAAAAAAAGTAGCAATGAAATGACTAGAAATTTTTTTATTGTATTTAATAATGTATAGCATTGCAGTTAAGACAGAGGCATACAAGGCTGGATATAATAAAAACTCTCATTGTTTCATAGCATTTAAGTCCAGAAGGTTCAATAGATCATCTAATCTGACCTCTTGTATATCACCTGAGATAAGTCCCCAGTGAGTCCTCACTCAGTCATCTACAAACTGTGCACAAAACTACTTCCATTTTTGCGCAGCTTACATAGCTAGTACTCATCTAATAACACAATTATTTCCAATTAACTCAACAAATTTCTTTGTTGATCTCTACAACTGCTGGTTCTATGGAGGCTGGAGGTTGACTCATTGAGAAGGTGGCTCTTTCTGCATGCAATGTTGCATTTTAAGAAAGCTGGAATAGGGGGTTTGCAGTGCTGGGTCAGAATATAAAGCCAAAGTGGATTGTCATTCTAAGCACTATTCAAACCAGTTTTGATGATATACTTTATTTTTCTTGAGTTGTAGAGATAATGAAATCACAATGCCTGATGCATTATGGCAGCAAGGGTATGCATTTCACACATTTGCAATCTCTGGATGAACTGTGGACCCTCCTTCGTTTTGGGGTTTTCTCAGTACACTGAGCCTGTAGCTGGACCTTAGTATCTTTATCAAATTTCATCCATTGCCAAGAAAGTTTTCCAGGCAAATTTTGCATCCTCTAGTTTTTTGGTGTCTTGGCCTTCAGATGGTGTTAAGCTCCTAAAAAGCTACAGAACATGAATATATTTGGAATGGAATTACGTGTGTGTTTAGCTAAGGAGTAAGGTAGCATTTAATACTAAAGAAGATAATAAATTATGAAGAAACTCAGGGAAAGTTGTTTTTCAGAATAGTTTCAGGTGTTGCAAACCCTTTTTTGATGTACCTGAACAAAACTAAATTTCTCCTGTTTAGTCTAGGTTTGTCATAGATTATAATATATTTGCTACTTGTGCATTCACTGGTATAAATAATCACTATTATGTATTGATATCTTCTCACACACTCTCTTAAGATTATGGTGAAGAATTACAGTAATATGAACAAGGCACTAATCAGAAATAGCCCATCTTCATATTTTGAAAGATTTTTCTTTTTGAGGATATGGTCTTTAAATAAATTTTGTAGTGGGAGCGCCTATGTGCTATGCAACTTGCTGAGGCTGATTATGTAGTGTTGATAATCTGTCATTTTCATCTTCACTGCTCTCCCATGGCTTATTTTGATTTCTCCAGTATATAAAAAAAAGCTCAAGAAACAGTTTTAATGAATTCAAATAGACTTGTCTCTTAAGGTCTTTTTTATAAAGTCACCTGCGAACTCTTGCATTTAATTGATGTGCAAGTCTGTACAGATACAGTAGTGTGCACAGAACAATTGGCTTCCTTAATAGTGTATTTCATGCTCAATATTTTTTTCCTTGTTTTTCAGCTAGACCTGAGTGAATGTAAATCTCATAGACCATGCTCTATAGTGAGAGGGTGCAACTTTTAAGCAGTACTCAACACACCAATTTTAGAATAATCATGTGTAAGGAAGGAATGTGTAAATATCATGATGACTTACAAAATGAGTACTAGATATAGTAATTCAGCTTGTCACATGATGTTAGAGTCAAGAAAGTAAAGAAACCCTCATTTAGGGATCTAGGACTAAATTCTACTTTTGGTTTTAGCCGCTGGATTTAAGTGACTTATTTAGACAAGGGTGTTATTAGACACTTTGAGTGACTTAGTACATTGAAAACCACAGGGAATACAACACCATATAAAATGTGATATATTTGCAGTGAGTCAATTTTTCGGCAAAACAATATGGAAATAAAGAAACAGTTTAGCATATCATACAGCACATGTGAAACTGATTCTGAATTGAAGTGTTGAACTAGAAGAACTGCTTTAAAGAAATAAAGAAAATCTGTAGAACATCACAAACCTTCTGCTGATTCTCATTTGCTGAAGGTAAGGAGCAATTTCAATCTTAATTTGTGCATGTAGACATGTTCAAATAGACATGTTGGCGATATTTACTGTAGACTTCCAACTTGGATGCCAATGCTATGAAGTCATCTAAAGTGCTATACAATGCTGAGGCAGAGAGCCATCTCCAGAAGATCAGTATAAGATTCTGTTATTCTACTCTTTAGGTCACTTTCTGAAAGAGTCTTTCTTTTCCATTAACGTAAGTACAGAAAACTTAGATGCTGGAATTAAGTGAAATTACTACACCTGGAAAAGCTAAAGTTTTTATTGCTGTTATTATCATTTAATAAGGGATGCAAATGATCACTCGTGGTCATACAGATTCTAAGATAGGAGAAGACAGATGATGGTCAAAACATGCTGATCTTTGAAATAATTTTATGCAAGTAAGAAGGCAGGAATTATTTATTTAGGTTAGATGAGCCTGGCTTTTTTGTGAAGTTTATTTTTAATAGACTACCAAGAAATTAAATTATATATAACGTTTTATATAAAATATTAAGATTATTTAAAACTAAGAAATGCTACTGGTGACTGCAAAGAACTCCAAAGAAACTTACTCTAATGTTTTATTACTTTCAGTTGTATAAAATCTATGCTCTTACCAAATTTGCAAGCAATAATTCAAGGTATAAAGTATTTTGCTCTGATGACATTCTTATTACTTTAGTGTCAGCTTGAGAGCTGACACTTAAATTAGAAACCTATGCAACAGCATCAATGCATCAAAAAAACCTAACACACATAAAAAATTAGTTTCTTGGTCTAGATTTCTAGTGTAAGGTACCACAAGCATAGCGTATATAACTTCCAAATTTCTTGTATCTGAGGTTCTTACAAAATTTGAAGGATAGTAGAAATCCTTTAGCATTCAAGTCTACTCGCCTGGGTAACTGAACTGAAATGTTTCCTTAAGTTTATATCTTAAACTTATGAGAAAAGGTGCCTTTCCATTTGATTTGGAGACTTAATTTCCAGAAGGCTGAATGCACCCTAAGAGAAAAAGGAACTAAAGCCCTTATTATGACAAATCTAAGGTGTTTGCTGAACAACACTTTAGATTAAGTGGGCAAAATTCTGTACTGCTTTAAAGAATATTTGTGCAAGTATCTCACTTAATAGTTTTCAGGTAGCTGGATGCTGCACAGAAGTGTATGGATCTTGAAGTGCCTCAGTAGTAATTTCCAATTTTCATTCTGCCATAAGTGATGACTTGATGCTTTAAACTCAGAATCCCAGGCTTGGTGCCTGTAGGTGTCCTAAACAGGCTTGCCTGCCTGGCTTGGAAATGCCACTACCAAAAGTCTTGGGCCCATTCAGAAGTCATTGCATAATGCAGTAACAGAGATAGTGTTTTCCCTCTGTGTGTTGCACCTTATAAAATACAACAAACAATGTATTTCCTCATAAAAGTTATTTCCATTAGCTGAAGTGTTCGAGGTCTATAATCTGACCTTTATGGTTACAGCTCACTCGAGAATCAAATAGGAAAATGTGAATAAATTGAGTGCCCAGGTAAAGTTTGTGCAATAACTTGACAATACAAAATGTACTTACAGGTACACTTACTGTGTACATAATAGTTCTAGTGTTGACTTTTAACAGTCCTACTTGGTGACAGCTGTCTGTTTAAGAATTTGGCATTGTATAATTTGGGACTGAAGATGATAGAGGCATGCGTGAGAGATGTTACTTGTGTGTATGTTTAAGTGGAGAACTGTGCCTCTGTAAGCTTCAAAAGGTCAGAACTTGATTTAATAAACTTTTCTTCCCAG